TTGTCTCAAATTGGGACTCATAGTTGACCCTTCAGCAGGCATGCAGAGGCAGTAAATGTCATCTTTCTTCTGTTGAGGAGCTAGTGAATTAGAACCATGTGCCTTTTGGTTGGCAGAAAAGTTCCTTAACACTAGGCCACCAGAGCTCTTAGTGATAACAGAGATACAAATAAAAATTCCAAAGGAATACAACCATAACCATTCAGAAGAGTAATATTTAAAATACAAGACAAAATAAACAAAAAGGTTATGAAGAAGCTAGCATTTCCCATTTAATGCTGGTACACATAAAATGGTACAGCCACTGTGGAAAAGTCAGGAGGTTCCTAAAAAAGTTTTACAAAGAACTAATCCAATCCTAGGCATGTACTCAGAAAAAAAAAGGGGAGTACAAAAAGAAACCTGTATAACAACGTTCACGGCAGGATTTTTTATTTATTTATTTTTTTTGGTATGTTATGTGGCATATACTTTCAACATCAACAAATACTAGGAAAAAAAGAGAGGGAAAATAAAATTCTGACATGAAAGGAAAGTTACTATATAATGCCATTTGCATTACATTTTTTTTAAAAGGTATGTGTGGATAACAGTAGGTTTTTGTTGACATGTGTAGTATTAGGCTTTAAAAAAATTTTTTTTAAATAATTTTAATGAACATTTACAGAGAGTTTGGATTTCCATTCATTCATTGCTGCAGCAGGATTTTTTTTTTAACAATAGCCAAAATATCGATTGACTTGAATTTCAATGAACAGATGAATAGTTAAACAAAATCTGGTATAGGCAGTTGTCAGGTTATAAATGTGCAATTTACAACAATGTGCCCTTCAGCACAGGGCTTTGAACTGGTTCTATTGTAGCTGATACAGCAAAAAGGCACAGATTGGAATCTATATAAATTGTGCCGTTCATTACAGTAACCCTAACAGGTAACTAAAAAGCGTGGTTGTCTGCCATCTTTGAAGCTTTGCTTTGGTATCTCAAAATCTGTCCTCACTTTAAAATGACTGAACCAACCCCTGTTGTTGTTATGTGCCGCTGAGTCGCTTGCGACTCATAGCAACCCTATGTACAACACCTCTAAATTCTGTTCTGTCCTGTGCCAATTGCACCATCTCCGATACACCCATCCTGATTACCCCAGTCACTGAATCAATCCACCTCAGGGGGCCTTCCCCTTCTGCGCTGTCCCTCCACCCTACCAAGCATGATGTCCTTCCTTCTCCAAGGACCTGTCCCTCCTTGCAACATGTCCAAAGTAAGTTAGACGGAGCTTTAGAATCCTTGCCTACAAGGAGCAGCCTGGTTTGACCCTTTCCAGGATGAATCTGTTTGTTTTCCTAAGCAGTCCATGGTACCCTCAATACTCTTCTCTAGCACCACAGCTCAAAGGCATCAATTCTGCTTCTATCCTCCTTAGTCATTCACTGTTCAACTCTCTGATGCATAACAAGTGATAGCAAAGACTATGGCCTGTATCAGACACACCTTAGTCTCCAGAGAGACACCACTGCTCTTCAGTACTTTGGAGAGGTCCCTAACAGCAGACTTTCCCATAGCAATACGTCTTCTAATTTCCTGGCTACTGGTGCCGAGAGTGTTGACTATGGAGCCAAGCAAACTAAAGCTGTGAACAATCTCAATCTCTTCACCATCCATCCTGATGCTGCCAATTGGCCCAGTGGTGAGAATCTTTGTCTTCTTGACATTGAGCCTCAATCCATATTGGAGGCTGCAGTCCTTGACCCTCTGCAGCAAGCGCTTCAGGTCCTCCTCACTTTCACCAAGCAGGGTTGTATCATCTGCATATCGCAGACTGTTGATAGATCTTCCACCAATCTTGATCCCACATTTCTCCTCACAGAGCCCAGCCTCCCGGATAATCTGTTCTGCATAAAGGTTGAAAAGGTATGGAGAAAGGACAAATCCCTGGCGTACGCCCTTCCCAATTTTAAACCATGCAGTGTTCCCTTGCTCTAACGACTGCCCCTTGGTCCCAGTATAGGTTTCTCATTAGTAGGATCAATTGTTCTGGTATTCCCATTCTTCTCAAAGTCAGCCACAGTTTGTTATGATCCACACAGTCAAATGCTTTTGCATAGTCAATGAAACACAGATATACATTTCTCTGGTATTCCCTGCTTTCAGCTAAGATCCATCTAACATTAGCTACAATATCCCTAGTACCATGACCCCTTCTAAACCCAGTCTGGACTTCTGGCAGTTCTCTGCTGATGTGTTGTTCCAGTCGTTTTTGAATAATCTTCAGTAGAATCTTGCTTGCATGTGAAATCAATGATATTGTTCTATAGTTCCACACTCTGTTGGGTCACCCTTCTTTGGGGTCGGAACAAATATAGATCTCTTCCAGTCAGCTGGCCAAGTGGTTGTTCTCCAGATTTCTTGGCATAACTTGGTGAGCACGTCCAGGGCAGCATGTTAGCTGAAATATGTCAATTGGTGTACCATCTCATCTATTCCTGGGGCCTTATATTTTGCTGTTTCCTTCAAAGCAGCTTTAACTTCTTCCTTCATCACCATAGGCTCTTGCTCATATGTTGTTTCATTAAATTCTTCTGTGTCTGCCAATTCTTTTCAATACAGTGACTCAGTATATTCTTTCTATCTTCTTTTAATACTCCCTGGATCATTTAATAGTCTTTCTAAAGAATCCTTGATTATAGCAACTTGAGGTTTGAATCTGTTCTTCAGTTCCTTGAGCTTAAGAAATGCTGAGCGAGTTTGGCCTTTTGATTTTCTGACTCAAACTCCTTGCATATTTCACTGTAATATTTTACTCTGTCATCCCCTGCTGCCTTTTGAAATCTTCTATTCAACTCTTTAGTATTCTGCTTTGGCTTCTCTGCGCTCCAGTGCAATTGTCAGTCTCCTCTAACATCCATTTTGGTCTTCTCTTCATCTTCTGTCTTTGTAATGAACATTTGCACTCTTCTTGAATGATACCCTTAATATCCTCCCACGACTCATCTGGTCTTCGCATATTAGTGTCCAAGGCCTCAAACCTGTTCCTGAGATGGTTCTGAAATTCAGATGGGATGGACTCAAAGTCCTATTTTGGTTCCCATGGATTTGGTTTAATTTTCCTCAGCTTCAGCTTGAACTTGCATATGAGTACTTGGTGGTCTGTTCCACAATCAGCTCCTGGCCTAGTTTTCACAGCTGACATGAGCTTCTCCAGCGGTTCTTTCCGCAGATGTAATCAATCTGATTCCTATGCATACCATCAGGTAAAATCCATGTATATAACAACCTGTGTATGTTTCTTAAAAACATATCTGCAATGAATAAGTCATTGTACAAAATTTGATCATCCTCTCTCCAGCTCCATTTCTGTCACCGAGTCCATGTTTTCAAACTACTGAATCTTCTTCTCTATTGCCAACTTTTGCATTCCAGTCACCCATTATTATCAATGCATCTTGATTGCATGTGTGATCGATCTCCAACTGTAAAAGTTGGTAAAAATCTTCTATTTCCTCTTCCTTGGCTCTGGTTGTTGGTGCATATATCTGAATGATAGTACAATATTGTGAGTGACAGGATAATATCCATACGCATACAAGGAAGGCCAGTGAGTACCTCTATCATTCAGATATATGCACCAACAAGCAGAGCCAAGGAACCAACCCCTACTCATCAAAAATTCTTCATCACAAACACTTCACATGCTGAATGTGCAGCTAGGCCTTTTATTGTACTAATGTAAGGCTAAATTAAGAACCATATATTCTTGTTCAGACTGTATGACATTATTAAAGACAGTAAGCAACAAGTCTATTTTTAACACTGGGTCTATGTCTTGGGGAGAATTTTCACTGCAATTATAATTGAAACACCTGGCTTTCAAAGTTTTTTCTTAATCTATCAGTTGAAATTCAGACATATACATAAAATGGAACATTACCTAGACATAATCAGAAAGAAATTAATGACACTACAATACTGCTAAACCTCGCAAACCTACTGAGTAAAGTCAGTCAGATGCAAAAGCACAAATCCATCTGGTTATTTGCCTTTTCATTCCAGAAACACAGAATCAGAATGGACTTATTAAAATGGAGATTCTGATTTGGTATGTGTAGAGTGGAAAGGCAAATTCTTAGCAGTGTATTGAAGCAGAATGAATTAAGAGTCCTTGGTAGAAACAAAAGATTATTAATTGATTAGCAGGGATAAGAAGAAAAGGTAAAGTTTTTTTAAGAAAGTCCTAACTGGGGGTAGGGGTGGGGTGGGCGGGGAGAAAAGTACAACAATGAATGAATGGAAATCCAACATGTCTGTAGATGTTCATTGAAGTTAATAATAAAAACAAATTCCTGAGTTTATGTGAACACTGGTGAAAGAATTTGGTAAGGGACAATGATAATGACTATACATATGAAAAATATAATCAATACAACTGAACCATTCATAAATGATAATATTGGACATTATTTCATTGTGTATCATTTTCACAATTACAGAAATTGATACTGCTAGGTCTTTAGTTCTTGTCTGAGCCCGGAAGCGCTGTTAACATTTATCTACTACGGGTAAATTCCTGGCATTTGAAATACTGAACATATAGCATCACAGCAACACAAAAGCCACCAAACTGACAAAGGTGTCAGGTGACAGAAATACCAAGATGTCTGCAATCACATTATATATGTGAATTCACTTTGTCAAGAACATCAAGTTGGTTTCAACTCCCAGCTAACCCTCCTATGGAAAACGCAGTCCATCTTTTTCCTGCAGAATAGGTGATGGACTCAGTGCACATGAACAAATGTAAAACCCCATTATCCAACTGCTATTTTAACAAATGGGCAAAATTTAGAGGCTAGAAAAGCAGAAATGTCATTAAGGGAAAGAGACTACTTTGACTACTTCTAGAAACACTAGGTAGACCTTTTTAATATCACTGTTGAAAACATTCAAGTAAAGATAATATTGCTATTAAAATAAACCCTAATTGGTATTATAATGTATCTTACTTCTTTTTCTTTCTGAAGTCCTTGTGTTTCTTGTTTCAGGCTATCCATAACGTCTTTTAACTTTTTTTCTTCTTTCTCTTTTTCATTCTCAAGGATATTGTTTCTTGTCGTTTTTTCACTTATTATAACCTCACTCTTAGCAGGTATGCTCTTATATTCTTCAACCTAAGATTACAAAACACATGTACTTTTGGGCTACCAAATACAATTAATATCTGACTTACTGGAAATAATTTTCAAGGTACTCTAGGTGTGCTGAGAATTTTCACTATAATTAGAATTGAACCAACTTTCTTTAAAAACTACTTTAAGTTATCCATTGAAATTCCCAAATATTCTTAGTCTAATGGCCAAACTAATTTTATAAACTCTGGATAAAGCAAGGCTTTAGTTTGTTTCTTCTACCCTCAAAATGCCACACTTCTTTAGCCCACAGTAATGTGTGATCTAATAGTCACAGACTCTACTACATGTTCTTTTCTAAAAGTATTCTTCACAGTATACAACAATTTATCTCATAATCTTCCCTCAAATACTAAACTCTTTTTAAATTTCACCAGATGACTAATATATTATTCCAGTAACAACCCAAATCAAATATACTGCCATTGGTTTTGATTCCCTATGCCTGTACTGGACCAACTGCCCTACACAATTTTTTTATAGTAACAGACCACCACAGGTTTCTCCCAAAGAATCACCTGTGAGTTTCAAAGTCAAGCTTTTGGGTACTTTAACCAGTGGGCCAACTTTATTCCAGTAATGCTTTCTGGTATCATTATCACTGCTTATCACACTACCAAGCAGAATGTGGGTGATTTCAATTGTTTTCCTGTCTAGGTGGTATAGCACTGGACTGCACACTGCTGCATAGAGGTAACGTGTGGTTGCTGTGATGCTGAACATTGGGACACTGATATGCCAAACGTGGTGTTTGCTGGAGCTTCCAGCCTAAAACAAGCCTGGAAGCAGGAGCGGCATTCACTTCCGAAATTGCCTGCCTCCAGAAACTCAATGAACAGTGCCTTTCGTTCATAGGGTCACTATGAGTTGTCTATGACTCAACGGCACCTAACAACAACAACAACAACAACAACAACATTCTTACACCTAAAAAGTAACATCATTAAAGAACTCATACTTGGCTTGGTTTGTTGGGCGTTATATTCCCAGATCTGTCTTTCTGCTTATTCCATTTATTTAGAAAAAGAGGAATTCTCCCTCTGCCCCAAACGGTGCTCTTGAATTACATAAAATTTGTTAATATTTATTGAGCACAAACTCTTCTGTTAAACAAATATATTTGGAAAATGGTGAGAAGATGAAGGAGAATCTATAGTACTTGTCATCGAGTCAACTCATGAGTATCTTAAGAGTTACCAAAGTAGAAACTTGCTCCGTAGGGTTTTTAGTGATTAAATCAGGTCTTCCTTTTGAGGTGTTTCTGGGTAGAAATGGACTTAACTTTTTGATTAAAAGCCAAGAGCATTAAATCATTTTTACTATCCAGGGACTCATCTGGCTATGTTCTTGTACAGTGTCAAGTCAGAATCAGCTTGTAGCTGACCCTTCAGCAGGTTTTCAGAGGCAGAAAGTTACACAGGAGACTGGCCATTTTTCTCCCATAGAATAACTAGTGGTTTCAAAATGAGTACCTTTGGGTTGAGAGTGTAACTTTGTACCAATAAGCCACTAGAACTCCCCCTTATCTGGTTAAAGGTATTTATTATCAATATCTACTGACAGAGCTATTGAAACATGGCTTTTGAGAAACCTCAAAACAAAATGATTAGAATATGGGCTTAATAATTTAGGCATTCTCTACACTGTAGTGCAAATATCACCTTTTTTTTGCATTTAAAATTAATAATTCTCCTTAAAAAATTATTCTGATACTCTAGGAAAAGAAAATGATACTACCATCAAGATAAAAACTATTGATCTGTTGTCTCCCAGCAATGAACTCTATGTACATTACAATGTACTGTACTCTAAAAGGTACAGGATAATGAATGAATTGGGGCTTTTCATTGGGGGTGTTAGGGAGAAGTATTAAAACACTTAACATAAAAACCCAAATAAACTGCAAACTAGTGCTGATATTCAGAAATAAAATGTTAAGTGTCCTGTACCTTTTCTTTATCTTTCTGAAGTTGCTTCTCCAGCTTTTTGACTTTACTTGTAGCATGTTTTAATTTTTCCCGAACTTGGACATCTTCCAAATCTAGCTGGGTAAATTTCTCTTTGTTTTCTTCAATGAATTTTGTAATTTTGTTCAGTTTCCTAAGCACAGCCAGAAAGGTCAGAATTTTCAATGTATTTTTATTTTAAACAGATGGTATATATTCCGGCTAGAACACTTCCTTAATAAATATTTCAACAGAAGAATCCTAAGTCTTATTCTAAGCTGATTCCTCCTTCTCCACCTATCCCTAATATCTAAGAAAGTCATTAAATTCTGTGATTGAAAGTTATTTTGAATGAGAAGTACTGTATTTTCCCATGACAATTGTTTCAGTCAATAAAAACTTTACCACAAAAGGAAACAAAAATATTTATCAAGGAAAAAACCACAAAGACAAGAGATAGTGATGTAACTGAATACTGGCACAGACTGGAAGCACAATAAAAATACTGTACCTCTGAATCAGATGTGCGCACTGTTTATTCTTAAGAGTAAACTGTCAGATCAAAGGCTTATTTTTGCTGGGATGTTTTGTGTTACCATATTCTGTCACTAGGGGGTAGTATCCTCCAATATTTTATGACTCCAAAGTTTGGCAGTTAAATCTGCTTACAGTGATACTAGAGTGCAGGGCAATATTTTTATGCTAAAGACTATTTTATGTACGTAAATATACTCATGTTGTCTTAGCAATAATTTCATATACAGAGACACATAACTAATATAATTCAGTGATAACGTCACTATTAAAAAAGGAATACTTTTCTGCTTCTTTCACAGCTTTAGTTTTAACTTTCATTTCATTTGCCAGCATACTGCTCTTTTCATTCATTTCTTTGGTATCTTCATGAATTTTTTCCTTCTGAGTTTCCATTTCAGCAATTCTTTTTTGCAGATCATAGCTAGAAGAGAGAAAAAAAGTTTCCTAAAATTAATTTTAAAAATTTTTAACAAGTTTAGTAAAACTAGCTATTTTCTAAAGCAGTCTTACTGCAGTCAATTTACAATTACCTAGGGCCAATGAGAGAATAAAAATACAGATAACAAAACTAGAATTAAAAACAAAATAGATTAAATGTAAAGAAAATTAGATTGACTATTTTATGAACTTAAGTACACTCAAAACTATACAATAATAGACACTTGTGAACATCTCCTAACGTCAAGACACTAAAAAAGCGAATCAAATGCTTTGCAAAATAACCCTAATTCAAGAAAAAATATTTCAAAATATTTCCTCCTTCATTCTTTTTATTTTTTCATGTAAGAAAAACCAAATTTTTTAATTGAAATTTTAATGAAAGTTTGTAAGAGAACTTGAATTTCCATTCATTCATTGTTGCACATTTTCTTCTGTCCACCTTTCCCAGTTTGCTTTTCTCTATGGGGGGAAAAAATCCTTTCATTGTACAATTCCCCACATCCACCCCAGTCCACTTTCATTCTGGATTGCAAAAACCCCAAATTTTAAAAAGTTGATAAATTAAGGTACTCACATGTAATACTGACAAACATGATTTTTCTTCTTAAAAATTTCATTTTCTAAGGTAAGAAATTCAGTAGCAATATTCTTCTCTCCTTCTAAGGCATTCTTTTCCTTTTCTACCATCTTAACTCTGTTTAACTACAAAAATTAAGAATATTTCAACAGTCCATACTTTAGGTGCATATATAACCTGAATTTAAAAGATCCCAACATTGAAATAAAAACACAATAATATTCAACAGAGAGTGCTCAACTTCAGTAGAAAAATATAAAATTCAATTTGAGATTATAAATATAGTAGGCAACTTCCATATCATGAATCTTACCTACTTTTAAGTTAAATTTGTAACTTAAGTTGAAAACAGGTATGTACACATTTACTTTAGTAGAAGAATATCTGGAAGACTGCAATGCTTTAAAAGGTTTAAGCTTTTAAATTTGTGTTTAAGTAATTACTTTGAGTAATTACTGTTGGTTAAATCATTTAAAAAGTAAGGGCCAACTGGTCTATAGGGCAGCTGTCAGCTAGTAAGGGTCAAGTTTCTAACTCAAGGACTGCCTGTAATTCTTATAACTTATTACAACTTGAATATTTGATACAGTGAAAGCTTTAATTCAGAATATTTATTTTCAACAAAAATCTACAGAAGATTTACCTTCTCTCCTCTGTGTTCATTTAATATTTCAACTCTCCGACAAAGGACTTTAATAGGTTCATTTAGTCGTCCACAACCAATTATATCTTCCAAATATTCAAGCATACCCTCATCATGTTCAGTTTGGCCTTTAGGTTTCATCATAGCAATTTGCTCAACTTCACCCTTAAAAAATAAAGAAATACAAGGTCATACACTTCCATCACTGTAAATGTTCAAATTAATACAATAGTGGACTACTAAATGATGTATGTAGAATTAAGAGAAGCAGTAACATACAAATCACTCTTTCCACTGACACTTTATTAGTGATTTTTTTAAACAGCATATTCCTTTCATTTCCCCATTCATTGTTGCACATTTTCCTCCCTGACCACTTCTCCCCTCAGTTCATTTCTCTTTGAAGAAAAAAGTTCATTGTTATACAACACCCCCTTCCCCGCGTCCTCTTTACTATGCTTTTCCCCCTCCTGTAATCTTGTCATGAAAATAATACCTAATTCTATATTAGTTTTAAACAGTTCTCTCCCTCATCTGTTTCAATGCAGTATACATTATCCCTTCTTTTCTTAGGTTCCCCTCACCCCAATGTCAGTCCCATTTTATAGCAGGGGTACTATGCAGTATTTGTCCTTTTGTGACTGAGATATTTCAATCGCATAATGTCCCTCCAGGGTCACCCATTTTGTATACTATTTCATGAGTTCTTTGTTTTTCAATGCAGCATACTATTCCGTTGTGTGAATATACCACAGCTTTTCTATCTATTCGTTTGTTGATGGGCACTTTGGTTCTTTCCAACTCTTTGCTATTGTGAACAAAGTTGCAATGAACATGGATATAATCTGCTTGGGTCGCAGTTATGGTTTCTTTAGGGTATATTCCTAGTAGGGGAACTGCTGGGTCAAATTGTATTTCTACTTGCAACTTGATTTGGCAATGACATGTCTGATAAAGGACTTATATCTAAATTTTATAGAATACTTGAGCGCCACAACAAGTTAAACAACCCAATTGAGAAATGGGCACAGGATATGAATAGACACTTCACCAAAGACGACATTCAGACGGTGAACAAACACATGAAGAAGTGTTCAAAATCCCTAGCTCTAATAAGATAGATGCAAATAAAAACTATGAGATATCATTTCACTCCAGTAAGAATAGCAAAATTCAACAGAGCAGCAAACAGCAAATGCTGGCGAGGTGTGGAGAAACTGGAATCCTTGTTCACTGTTGGTGGGAGTGTAAAATGGTGCAACCAGTATGGAAGCCACTGATGCTACTCTTAATGAGCTCCAGTTTTAGAGAACAACTTTGACTAATGTACTAGAAGAGCAAGAGGTTAAAAACATGTAATTCCACTTTCTAAACTAAAACACTAAACATACACAACACTGAACATCCTCTCCTACAATGTATCTCATTACAGACAAATCCTTGTTTTTATTATTCAGAAACAAGCAAAATTCAGCATTCACATAAATCTACAATTATCATGCCACCATCAGCAATTATTTGGTTTTGTTCTAAAAGAATTTTCAAAAAGACCCTTCCTGGTTAAATGGTAGAACACTATGTGAAGGTGGTTAGCATTTATCTTTCTTTGTAAATACACTTTTATGAATTCCACAAGCAGCCCTGGGCTTATGAGGAGGACCTCATAAGTTTAATGTCTTAACTTTCTAAAAACAAGAACCTTAAATGGAAAGGGAAATTAAATTTGAAATATTAAATAGCTCTTTTAATAGCAGGAGACTATTAGAAGCACAACTTCTTGACTAGAGAAAGCTAATGGCAGTAACATATAACATTAAAACACTTTTGCTTACTATTGTTACTATAATTACTTAAAACTGCAATAAAAAGAAACTTAGACTAAATATTTTTCTACATGCAGTTTAATTATATTGTTCATAGATGAAGTCAGTGTGGGGGGGTAATGTTCATAGAAGACATGGGGGGATTGATCCACAATCTGTAACCATGAAGACTGACAAGCAGCTATTTTAGTGTGATGGTAGAGAAACTGCCTGAACATGCTCAGGCCAAAAAAAAAAAAAAAATGATCCCAATTTCTTTGCTTCCCATGGTTTGGATAGTCAAGCTTTTCTTGCTACCATAAAATATAGAAAAAAAAAAAAAAAAGACTCCTCCTAAACACCATAGGAGCAGCCTGTTTGCTCTACTAACCAAAAACAGGCAAAGGGGTTGGGGTGGGAGAAGAGAAAAAACTATTTTCAGCAAAATAAAGTCAAGAAAAAAACCCCTGCACAATGCCAAGCAGAGTACTCTTTTAAACATTTTAGCCATAACTGTATTTCCTTACTTACTATATGGATTGGAGCTAAGATTTCTAATCACAAAAGAGTAGTTTATAAAGACTAACACAGTAAAAAGACTAAACATGTAATAATAAAAATAACCTTGCTAAGATAAAGAGGTATTTTCAAACTTTATTCAACGGTGTAATTAAAAATTTCAATACATCATCACTTATGAACTAACACTTCATTAACACATGACTATGGATTACAATTTAAATTTTGTCAAGAAGCCAAGACTCTTGATTAAAGTTTTTATCTCAAGTAGGATTTCTTAAAAGTGTTACTACTCCAGCACTGGCTGAAAATCGCCGGTGACTTCATCCATAGCCACTGGTGAGAGTCAGCGCCCAGAGCCATCAGGGGCTTTAAGCTCGCTGCCCACTGCTGTGGTGTGGACAGCTGAAACCCAGGCCCCAACAGGCACCTGGGGGGGAAAAAAAACCCCCAGACTCTACTTCATGCTCTGCTGGAGGAGGGGCAGTCTCCTGTACCAGTCAGATCCAATTTGACGGCACACACACACACTTTTTCTTCTTTTTTTTAAAAAAAGACTACTTCAGCCGTTGCAGCCCTCTGCCCTGGGCGGGCTGCCCCCGGCTTGGGGTGAGCCATCGCGGCCCTCTGCCCGAGGTGGGCTGCCCTCGGGCCGGGGTGAGCCGTCGTGGCCTTCTGCCCGGGGCAGGCTGTGCTTGGCCCCTGGCTCGGGGTGAACCATCCTGGCCCTCAGGAGCAAGAAGGCAAGCAGCACAAGACCACCAGTAAGGTGATATAGCGTCCTCCCTTCCCCCTTTATATCTACGCCCCATTCAGCATGAAGAAGGCAGAGAGTCGGCATCCAATTCCCAAATCAATAAGACAGTTGGTTTAATTACTATTGGAAAATGCTTGTCATTCCTCTGTAGCATCTGGTCCCCACTGGACCCTCATC